TAGTATATATGAGTTCATGAAGATCGTTTATGTGTGGCTGGTGTTTGTGAAGATTTATATATATATATATTAAGCCTCCGACAAATTAGCAACAAATGAATGTAAGCAAATGTCCCTACAGCCTATCGTAGCTCTGAACTGACCAATTTATTCCCAACATGTGTTCTTTCCAACCTTTAAATATCTGTTCTTAAGTATCGCATATAGATGACCACTTTGATCTCTTGCGCACCCCACTTTTTGTGCGTTTTAGGAAATTCTCGTCTTGTTCTTAAAATATATCTGCATCCTGTATGTTACGAGCTTTTGAGTTCTCTTATAGCTCTCATAACTTATCCTTTGATCTCTCCTATTTCGGTACAGACAAAATAACCTAAACAATTAATTATGGTAAGTTATTTGCTGAAACCTAAATCGACTATCTGTTTCCTGAGATCGTGGCTCCCTCACCTACAATGAGGGCCAAAGGTTATCAAACACACGATTTGGGCACCTTTCAAAACCGACGCTAATCTCTTGTCATGAGTAATTGCAAAATAAAGACAACGCCAACAATGCTGTCTTGCACGTTGCGTCGGCTGCTTCCTTTGATAACGTCTTTGCAAGAAAAAATATACCTAGAGAATTTTAAGGTTCTTTAAACCCGACCACAACCATATAGGGATAAGCCCAAAACTTTTAATATAACTAAACTTTAGCTGAATGCAAACACCTATCTTTAGCTCCTTTAGTAAGGCTGCGCTTACCGGCATTTGGAAGTAATCCAGAACGATGTAAATCCGTAAAAATGTTATCTATTCTTGAAGGTGCACTGAACAGTATAAGAAGATTGATTTCAAACCCGTCGACCATTAGGATGACAGAAAATGGTCAAATATTCAAATCACTTCCCCAAAGTATCACGAGAAATTTAGCACGATTCCTTTTTTAGCAAATCCTGATCTTGTCGCTAGCGTAATTCCACACTTCCTCCGGCATAAGATTATGCAATGTTGCAACACATACTAAAGACTTAAAACGCAAAAATGAGTAAAATGTTTGCCCAAGCTGCAATGTCTAGAACGATCCCCTGCTCGAAAACGTATCTCAATCACTCTTGGCCTGCCAGCAACGGTCGGCACTTTGAAATTTTGAGGTTACACTCCAGCTCTCGTGGTCTATTCTCTACTGTAGTTTACTATCTTTATATTTTGCACAGACAAATTGATTTTAACTACTTGTCGAAAGCTAAATCAACTATATGTTTCCTGACATCGCCGTTTCCTTGGCAAGAATAATAAAGACCAAAGGTTATCAACAGTACAACAGGGCTCGTTTTCAAGTCGTTGACGCTAATTAATTGTAAACGGAAAAAGAGACAAATTGTAAAAGAAATTGTTTGGTTCCCACGTTTGATGTTATAGACACAGACATCGACGTTGACATAGTAGCTCATAGTCGAAGACGAATGCTTCCGTTGATTACCTCTGAAAGAGCAATTGTATCTCAAGAAAGAGGCAGGTTTTCGCTTTCTACTTGTCCAGAAACAGAGCCACGGAGGTAAAGGCTTCCATATCAAAGCAAAAAAACAAACAAACAAACAAACA